ACTGCCACTTGTCAGCCCTCAGTGTCCCCATAATCGATTTTAGCCTTCAGCGCAAAGTGGCAAACAATGTTTCATAATTTTAGTGCCTCCCTGGCTGGCGGCGTTGCTTCCGTTATGTCCTAGCTGACTGACTGCCTGGCTGCCAGTTCTCCGCATCCGCCACAGCCAGCAGCGATGTTGCAATGTTTTTTTTAGGCAATTTATGACGCATAAATAAGCGGAACTTGAAACTATGCAGCGACAACGTGGCCAACGCGCTAAAAAACAACGCTCAAACTCATTAATTTAAACGAGATTTGACGTGCGCTTTGATAAAGCCGCAATTTATATTCGCCAGCCCGTTAGACAGAGGTTGTGCAAGCCGAGAATGGAAACAGGAGCTCAAAATAAAATCTCCAGCTGGCTGGTGATGGGGGCATATGGCCAGCCTGCAATTGCCTCGTTTAGTTGGAAAACAATGGCGAGCTTAGTATGCTCTAGCGTAAAAAATATGGCTACAAAAATTACTGCACTGAGAGAAAATCACAGGTGAAAAGATCTAACTGAGAAAAGTTAGGAAAAGTGGGAGGAAGCTTATTAGGTAAACCAGTAGAGGAAGACCGAGAGAGAGAGAGAGAGAGAGAGAGAGAGAGAGAGAGAGAGATACTTAGTATATCTGAACAAATTGATATACTTCATATATACATACATCTATGAATTGGTATATAACAAACTCATTTATCTGAAATCTGTTAAATCAGATTAAGCTTTCAACTGGATTAACAATATGTAGTTATTTATAACTTGCGGCTGCTGCTGTGTGCTCAGTGTATTTATTTGTAAAGCAAAGGGAAGGAAAAAGGCCAACATCGTCGGGCCATAACAAAAGGCCAAGTTGCCAACTAGGCGGGGCAGACTTTTCGGTGTCGCCGCAAACTGCAGCGCACTCTATTTGTAAAAGCAATTAATTTTTTGGTTACAGCTTCGCCCAATGGCACATAAATTTAAACAACTTCTGGCGTCGCTGTTAGCATCTGGTAATCGAGACGAGGGCTGGACGAGCATTTGGCCGGGCCAAGACCGAGGCGAAGCCGCAATTTGCGTGCATTTAAATGGCGAGCGAGAATGCGGTCAGAGGCATGACGGGACTCACCTCCAGTCCAAAACTAAATAAATATTTACATGGGTTTGTCACCAAAATGCGAAATAGACACATCAACAATACCACAGCGAAATTCAACAAAACTCAAAATGGAAAAAAAGAAAATGAAACGGAGCAAAAATTGCCAATTCCCAAAGCAAACAAAATGAAAGCCAAAGCAATCAGAGCGAACCGGTTAAAGTGAAAATCAATTTGTCAATTCGAACAATTGAATTGGGCACGAAAGGATTACACACGCATACATGTACATGCGTTGGGTATGTGGCATGTCGGCTCCTTCGAGTGCCAGCCTGTCTATATAAATCAAAATATTTCCCAACAGTGCGTAAACAAATTTGTTTCAAGTGCGCTCGGGAGCTCTGCTGTCAACCTTTGTGCAATCTGTGTGTAGTTTACAATTCGCTGCATTTGCCATTAGATGCGGCAATTAGAATAGTAAAGATTTTGTGAAAAATTTGAATCCTGCCACATCATTTAATTTGAAATGCATAATTGGACAAATGAAGCACCCCTTCTTACACTCGGCTCATACTCCCATAGTCACTTCTGGGGTGTGGAAATTTTTAAATTATTGCGCTGTATTACCAGCGGGCCAACACGTCATTTATGGCCCTGCACAACCCCCGAGCCCCGAACTACGTACCCCGAACGTCGAGCGTCGAGCCCAACTCGGCTGGTTTCAAAATCGATCCGATCTACCCGGTTGTGTAATACGCGAATTTAAATAATCCTTTGTTGTTGCCCTGCAGCAAAATGATAAATTATTAAATTAGCTGTGGCGGCAGTTTTGCATTTCGTAGTCATCGTCGGGCAGATGAGCGCTGCACGAAGTCAGAGAGAAAGGGAGAGAGAAAGATAGAGAGACGCAGTGGTTTCCGCAGAACACTTACATTTGCCTACTTTTCTGAGCACTCTATGCTTAGGTACACCCACGGCCAATATAATAAGTACATGAACTAAAGAATTTTTTGAAATGTCATACATTAATTGAAAAAAAGAACGGAAACTCTAATTCTTTTATATGGTGGGTAATCCAAAAACCAATCCAAAAACCCTCTGCATAATAATATATACAAAACTATATATTTTTTTTAACTTCTTTTTATATTTTACATCATAGTTATGGTTTTTAACAGAAATTAGTATTAAATTGTATTCTTAAAAACAAAACGAAATTACCTGTCAGATATTGTTTAAAAAATTGTACTTATAGTTTTAAATAGACTTTAAGATTATATTTATTTCTTAAATTCCTAAAAAGAAAATTATATATTATATATATATACTTTCGAAATCTATCATTTTTAATAAATTTAAATATTTCGTTCGTAGAAGGAAAATTAAATTACCTTAAGATTTAAATAATTTAAAAATTAAAATTAACATTGCAATGTTTTATAAAATTTAATGAAGTTACGATTAGATCATTCTTAGTAAATTTTTGTAAGCTAAATATAGGTTTCAATTGACGAATTAATATTAAAAATAACATATATTAAAAGATGATAAATTTCCGTAAGAAAATATATATAGTTTCAGCACTTCACATTAATTGATTCATTCCACACTTTATCTATATTCAAAATATGCTTCGCTGCATGCAAATTGAAATAGTTTGTGAACATATTGTGCTGGCCATGAGTGTATATTCATACAAGCCCCATGGCTTCGCTGGCTGCAGTAGTAAAATTGAATTGTCTGGGGAAAAGTTTGTAGTAGAGTAAAAGGCAGCGCAGTTAAGGACATTGTCAGGCTCATTTTATTTTAAATGGCTGGGCTGTTTTTTGCTAATTTGTCCTTTACATTAGGCAAGCATACACTGCAAACTATTTTCAGATGTATTTCCTTTTAGAGAGTTGCAAAAATGTATAAAAAAATATATATATATATAAAAAAAGATACATCTGTAAAACAGATTAAAAATTAAATATATTATTTTAGATATTTACATTGTTCAATTCATAAATTAAATTGAGCACCTAGTTTCGCTCAGTGTATGCCATTTAAAAGGGCTGTCGCACACTTGTGCCCATTTACAATGCAAGCAGGACAATTTACAATGTGTTTTTGTTCATTATAGAACTATTTCAGTTGACCTCGTCGGCCCGCCCAAAAGACCAGCCCGAGGCAATATTCGACGCACTCACCGCTTGTCGCCTCAGGAACGTAACGGGAACAAGGGTACGGCCCGGACCTCCGACTGGGATGCTGCGGCTGCCGTTGCCGTTGCCGTTGCCCGCGGGGGTAGCTAATGAATAGTTGCTGTTGTGCCCAGGCTCGACGACGAGTTGAGCGTCTCTCAACACGCACATTTGTTGTGAATTATGTTGTTTGTTTGAGCGTCGACTTGATGCACTTTAATTGATGTCAATATGCAGAGATTTTTATGTTTTTGTTTTCGGTTTTTTACAATCGGCAGCGGGAAGGGGAGAGAGGGATTTTTGTAGATTGCATTTCGGGTTGTTTACAAATATTTGCGTTTTCCAACCGATAAGGGCATCTGGCACAATTTCGTTTACATAGCCGATAAAGCTAAAAAGATTCGTCTGCCGATGTTTGTTGACGGTGTCGAGCACTCGAGCCAAATATGCAAAGTATTTGCGCATATTAAAAACTAATTTCAAAAGTCAACATGCCAATAAAAACAACAAGCTCAACTCAGCCAGAGGGTGGCCCAATGGTGCCAGCCATATCAGTTCTCCCTCTCTCTCTCTCTCTCTCTCTTTCTCTCTCTCACTCTCTCTTTCTGTCTTTCTCCTTTTGGGCACGCACTCAAGACGCCATCACACACCCCTTTTTAGGATGGCTGGCGGCGCCCGCAAATTAAGCAAAAGGCACTCAATCTGACGACTCCCCCGCACGGGCAACCAGCTAGTAAATGAACGTAATTTAGAAAATATGTTCCTACGGTTAATATTTAAGCGAACTTAAGGGTTGATCCGTTCACCGACAGCCAACCAAAATGCGGGCGCCCTTCTTTGGGGGGTTGGCTTCTGCTGCCGCAGCCGCTGCCGTTGCCGCTGCTGCACAAACAAAAGCCAAAAGTTATGCCGCAAATGATATTTTTCATTATTAAACACAATAATGTGGTTATTATTTTTATGATTGCGGTTACCACCAGCCAGCCAGCCACTGCCGTGCCTTTGCCTTCGCCCTTACCGAACTGACTCAGTCGTATTCCCGGCGGATGCTGCGCAGCATTCACAGTTGCATTCATTTGGTTAGTTTGTTTATGTTGGGCCTGCGGTCTTTGGGGATTTGGGCACGCTTAATTTTAAGTGCCCGTCGAAATGGCAAAAAAAAAAAAAAAAAAAAAAACAACAACAACAGCAAAAAAAAAACCAAAAGAAACGGAGCGCAGCATGTAATGAAATATTATGGCTTGACCAGGAGCAGCAGGAGTAGCAGCAGGCTGAAGTAGCGGGGGCAGCAACCAAGGGAAGGTGCTGCTTTCTGTTTGCCATGCGGACAAGCGAACAAAGGAAAATATTTGAGCCCAAATGGTTTTCTAGTAATTAAAGAATGACTTAGGGCGCCGAGTGGGGTTTACGTGGCTATTTTAAGGCATTCGTCCCCAACTTTACACACGCTCTAGCTAATCACAGCACGCTCCCAAAAACGTGATCTACGGCAGCCGTTGTCGTTGCTTCTCACGCAGCAAAACGCCCAGAAACTAGCCTAGCCCTAATAAGGCAATTAATCAACATAATTACCAGCGATTAATCATAAGCGGCATTATGATGCATGGGCGAGCGTTTTAAGACTCAACTGTTGACAGTTTTGGGAGGGACAGAAATTTAAAAAAAGGAAAATATATATCTATGTAAAAACTAAATCACAAACGCGAGCAAATAAATCAATGGCTCGATGGCAGGATATGCTCAGTGAACTGTGAGTCTGGGGCGGCCCGTTTGCTGCAAGAGTAAAATCCATCAATCCCTTGAAAAATGTCAAAGCCACAAAGCAACAGCTAACAAATTCCTGTAAATCCTTGCCTGGTGTACTTAAAAATTGAACAATCTTTTAAAAGTTGTGCGACACCCTTTCAATGCCTTGTCATATGCTTAGCATCTCATTGACCCGTGGCAGCCGCAGCAGTCGAACAGAGAAAGTGAAAGGGAGAGAGCGAGAGTGCGAAGAAAGGGCAAAGGAAACGAGAAGCGGACTGAGGTGCCAGCTAATCAGTTTGAAATGCTTCCATATAGATGCCTCTGTGCGGCATGAATCGGTATACCCATAGATATGTATGTGTATACGTATATGTAATTGCGTGCGTCTGTGTGGGTTGCGGCACATTTTAATTTGTAATACGAGTCGAAATTGGGAGTAACTTCAGACACGCTGCCATGGATTTTAGGTGTGGATTACACGAAACCAGCTGACAGCAGAGGACGCGGCAGAGTTGGAGCTGACAAAGATCTGAGAAAGGAAGCAACTTCCCGGCCAGCGGACCTACATATGTGTGAAAGTGTGACTAAAGCTGTTAGTGGAAGCGAGTCTTTAAAATCTTGAAGCAAAACTAAGCGGATGCTATGGTTAATGAAAACATATTATTAAATGCAAAACATATTTGATTATAAAGCTTTACTCCGCCACTTAAGAGCTACTAAGGTAAACAGTAATTAGCTTACAAAGCTTATGCATTAACTAGTACGCAACAAGGTATAAAAATTGCAGTCTGAAGTAACCGACTGCGCAATACTCGTTCGAAGATTATTAATACAGCTTCCGGCATCGGAAGCTCATTCATGCTTAATGAACATAACGATTAGGAAACCAGCTCGATGAATATAGAAAAAAGCAAATATAGTCAGTGCGATTCGCGTATAATTACATAAAGAAGACTAGTTTAGAAACACAGCGAAATGCATTATATAATCTATAGCTAAAGATATTTAACTGATATGCATTTTATAATCTAGAGTTGAGGGTATCTTTAAGTAGACCTGAAAATTTTTAAATTATTGTAAAAATCTTAAGACATTTTTAATAAATAATTTAAAATA